TTTTCCTGCCACTTGTTCTTTGACACGTATGCCGAGCATCCTTCCCGTCTCACCAATACATATATATTTCGTCACAGACTGAACACCGAAGTTGGTAAATCGTCCCTCGCTGAGTGCAATCTCCGACTTTTCCAAACGGACAAATGACGCAGTTATCCGTAGAACATGCACGGTCGTAAAGTCTATTGCGGATTAGTTGACGTTTGATATTGTCGTGAGACGGGAAGGATGCTCGGCATATTAAGATGAGATTAATGCACACACCTAATATTAAAAATGTCAAATACTACATCAGAATAAATGATTCAACATTTCAAACCTTGGTGAGTCACTAGAGACCCACAACTTCTCTAGCACAAGTAGAAAGAGGCTGAGAATCTCTAATTATTTTCATGTTGTCGTTTGCTGATATCGAATTTCGCTTCAGATACCTAAATTATCCGGTTCAAGAAACTGCGACGCAGGTGAAAAGTGGCGATGCTGTTTTTTGAACTTTTCCACACGTCTTCTGCCTCCTTGCTTCTCTTGAACAGATCAGGAGCTCGTTTTAGAGATCACGATGCCATTGTGGGGGTCCGAAGCCGTGGAGGCATTTCGGGTATAAGCCACCAAACCAAAGTAAATTGGAAGGAAGCATTTTTCACAATTACAAGATAACTGAAGTCCCATAGAAGGCTTGCCTTTCCACAGTGATTTCGATGAAGAGCAAGCCCAGCTTACACTGGTCCCACTTAGTGGCTCTTCCCGAGATTACGTGCGCACCGTGAGGCCTCGCACTTCAGCAGGACTGTAGGGATTTGTGATCGGATATTGTCACAAATAACTTCTGATCCATTTCAGACTCTGAAGAAGGTGACACCGCCGAAACGTTAAACACTAATGTTTCAATGAAACTTCGTAGAAGTCCAAGACATGAACTACATCAAGCTACATACGTTTGTGCTGACGTTTATGGGAGCCAGTACGAGAAGATCGTAAGACAAGCAACATGCCGTTTATTTTGATTGTAGGAGGGTCACGGATTAGAGCTACGTTGGAAAACCCGTCAAACTTACTGGTCAATGGAATCTATCTATAATAGATTGCTTAGGTTAGTCATGTTCCGCTAGTCGTGGCTTTGTACTGAGAAATGTTGTGAAGTATTAATGTATTCAATCATTCAAAAGGAAAGTTATCTCGTCGCTGACTTCATCTTTCAGCAGACAAGAAAGTTCTAGTAGTTCTTCCAGTATAATTATGTAATTTCAACACGAGAGAAGGAAAGAAAGATAGGAATAGAAGGAGAAAAGAAATAAAGAAAAGGTGAAGTTAAACATTATTTGTTTTGCCTCCATCTCAGACGGACCATGTTGATGCGCTAGTTCATGAGGCTCATAAGTGTGTTGGACTAGCGTATCCAAGTTTTAAACGTAAGATATATTGACTTAAGTTATTTTGTCTACTGTCACTGTCAGTGCTAGGCTATATGCACAACGCAATCTATGGGCCGCTGTTAGATTATCGAGCGTTAAAAGAATCGATTCTATGTAAAACTTCTTCTTTTCGAGTGTTAGGCACCATTCCATCGTTCTAATCAGCCCACCATTATCATTTGAAGTGATTAGAAACTTCTCATTCGGGCGCATAAACACGAAGTTTCCCTCCTTTTCTGATCTTTTCATGATGTTCCTACAAAGCCAATAAGTTTTGGTTTGATAATTACGAGCGAAAAAGTTTGTAGGAAAAGTCTTTCAACTCGCAGCTGGGTTTTCCACTTTGATTTCATGATCTGCTATACGACAATAATCCCGTTCACTATAATTTTATTGTAACAAGTATGATCATTGGCATATATTCCTTATTGTATACATTGGTCTATACATTGTATCTTTGAAGAAAAGCCAACAGCCACAAGGAAATGCGGCTGAGGTTCGAGGATAATTTTGTTAACACTGTTGAACTAATCGTGGCATTTGCAGTTGCTGGAGCTGCCGTCATTGGAGATACTGTCAACGAAGTTGACAGCCTCGGAGTTTTTCTCGCCGTTGAAGTTGGCGCGCCTGGTGTTTTTGTCATTGAAGTTGCCGTAGAAGTAGATGCCGTCGCTGTCGTTATTGTCGTTGAAGCTGTCGTTGCTAAATTCGGCAGCTCTGAAGTTATAGTCACTAAAGTAGTCATCGTTCTAGATGTAGTTCTTCTAGTTATTGCTGCGTTCAATGCAGTCATAGCTAAAACTGGAATAAAGGTGAATTTTCAAATTTTTGGTTCTATACACTCTGACGTTATGGTGTTGGATCAGTCCCTGCTTTGAAGTCTGAAGTGCGTAGGCTTTTATACCCTAAACCCCTTGTCTCAGTATCTGCAAGAACGTTATATAACTAGTAACTCTCGCCTTCTATTGCGACCCAATCCTTGTGCGACCCCTAGTAAGCCCATCCATTGATACCACCTCCTGTCACCCACCATGATGTTTTCGCTCTCACACCTATACCCTTCCAAATTTTGACTTTCTGGTTGGAGGAGAGCAGGATGACGAAATTATGGTGCAGTGTACACCGATACAACAACAAACAAACAAACACGCCAACACACCGACCTACACCTTCGAGGAATCATAAAAGTAGATGAATGCTCATACGGGAGCCGATGCGCGCTAGCAAGTCCAGAGGATGTGCAAGGCGTTGGTGGAGGATAAAACTGGATTAAAGTCACCACTGCCTTCGTGGGAGAAGTCGATGGAGTGCTCGTGACAGGGTATCGTCTTAACTTCACTTCTCCCCCTTGCTTTTTTTTCCTTTACTTGCTCTGGCCTTCTTCTAGAATGTTTTTCACATCAGCATCCATCCCCTTCGATAAATGAATGAAGGCTCACCCTCTGCTGTGGGAGCAGTTGACATGAATTCCTGCAAAGGAACGGTCTTATCTTCCATGAGGCTTATTTCTGAAAATCATTCCGAAGTAGTGATTCATACGAGGAGATTCGCTCGAATAGACTTTGTGAACTGTTGCAATCCAGAAAGTATAACATATAGTATAGTATAGTATAGTATAGTATATAGTATAATATATAATAATACAGGTTTCAGAAATTTCTTGAACCAAATAACTAGAGAGTTCACACTTGGAGGTTAAGGGCAAAAAAGGCCCTTCGTGTTTGAAAATTGTTATTACTTTCATTCACATACCACCAAGATCCACGCTCGGTTGCCTATACCTTCATGATCTGAACGCCAAAGATCCGATGGACAGGACTTTTGCTTTTACGGTCAAACATATACAAAAAACATCCACAAACTAACAGACGTAAATAACGTATTATATTATATAATATATTGCACCTTGGCTCCGCTGAACGGATCTGCTATAAGGGGTCGTGAAAACACAAATTAGCTTAGTTATGCATGTAAAAGGCTTTAGCCTGTTTGTTCTACCAGGTTGCCATGTTTTTCCCACTTGACCGTTGAGATTAGCTGTATGATGCGCTAATCCTCTAAACTTTTCTTCCTCCCAGTCATTGCTGTACAACTCTGCAGTCGTGTCGTATTCGTAGTCTGTATTACTGAGGTGGCCATCACTGCGCGACATTGACGAGCTTCCTTTTCTATTCTACTTCACGCTGTACGATTCATTGAAAACCGTTGTCTATATTCGAGCAGCGCAACTAGCCCTTCACGATTTCACGGTGAGGTGTACTGTGGTTGACTTTCAAGAATGTTGAACAACTCCACTATTTCGTGTTGAGTTCAAATTATAACGGAACAGCCGTCAATATAACGACGACATTGTAACACGTAAGTATGTTACGGACAAGTGTGCTAGGACTGAACGTGCGGTTCTACTCATAAAGCAGACAGTGAAAACAGGTAGTAGTCGATATACGGTCACAACTTTTCTTACACGTGGACTGTAACATTCAGACTACTCAAACATATTGCAGACTGCAGACAGACTTCAGCCGAACTATTATACCATGTACTGCCATCTATTCATAAAGTAAGAGCGAGTATGTTTTAGACTAAGTCCTTCAAAAATTTCTTCGCAGGTGTGAGTCAACAAGTATGTTTCAAGCGATACTTGGGTCTGGGTCCTACGCCCTGGGTCCGTGCTTAGATCAAAGAGGCATCTACTTTGGCCCACCCGGGAACAACCTCCGTTGGCTGCTTTCATAGTCCGCCGGCCGGCAGGCGAGCCGGCCGACCGGCGGACTATGAAAGGCAGGTCTTTGATCTTGTCTCTCGTTATTTACAGCCCTTCGAAGGGGCTGGCCGACTGTGTGCCTCCCTCTTCCCCCCTAGCACTTCCTTGGCCGGCACGCCGGCCGCGGACTATGAAAGCAGCCGTTGGTTGCGTTTTCCACACTGACCTGCACTTCTATGGCCGTCATTCAGTCTTAAGTCAAACAACTATCTGTAGGTAGTTACTGCCTACTTGAGCCCCTGACACACAGAGGCCTCCTTCTCGTGTCGTCCTTTTTGTGTACGACAGGCCTGGGATGCTGGAGGCGCGACTACTTTTTTCTCTTCTTTTTTGCAGCTATTATACGAGTTGTTTGTTGCGTGTTTGTTGTTTGTTTGTTTGTTTGTTTTTCGTCTAAACATGCTTGTCCTAACTAACACCTTCTGCCCTGTTGGTGCGCACCAGTGAGTGCACAAATAAATTGAATAAATGAATAAATAAATATTGCACTGCAAGCGCTCCTCTATGAAAATCATTAAATGGGCTTTTCTACCACACAGACTAAGTAAGATTCTGGTCCTGGTTTTCAGCAGCAAGCCTGATTTGTTTAGCAATCCAAGAATACTTTCTCCAGCTATCACAGCAGCATCATCTTCGGAATTATTGGGTATGACAGCATGGCATTTTCGAAGGATGTTAATGTTGCTCACTTTTCATTTTCCTCACTCCGCCTCGACTATGAAACAGCTACCATGGTTTCACGCAGATCGGTTGTGCGAACGGATTATTAGCTGGCCTTCTTCAGTCACCTCTGACTACATTCCGTTGTTTTTCATTCAGAAAAAGTTGCCGATGTTATATGTGAGCCGCTTTCGTACATATTCAGTCAATCACTCATGAAGGGAGAAGTTCCTGCACGATGGAGACAGTTTCTCGTCATCCGGTCCTGACCTCCTTCTGACCCTGGGAATTACCGTCCTGTCAGCATAACATCTTTGTTTTGTGGACTTTTTTGAGAGAACCATCAAGGAACACATACTCGAGTATGCTGCAGCTAACAGAATAATACTACGGGTCCAACATGGTTTCGTCCTTGGGAGGTCGGTGGAGACAATGAGAGATTGAAAGCCTCGAAGACTGGACAGTAGTACTTGATAATAGTAGATGCTGTGATGTTATACAGTGCGTTTCATAATTATAAGGTCACCCTCAGATTTTGCACTTTCAAAAGAGCAATCACTAAAGAATTTTTCTAGCATCGTGAACGGATTCCCCAGTACGAATAACCTAGGTATCCGTTTTTTAGCCGCAGCTGCATTTCTCTGAATTTTTTTAGAACAGTTTATCGGTTTTTGCACCGTTTCATAATTATTATATAAGGTCACTCTGTGAAAGTGAACAATTATTCAAGGAGGAGAGGAAAGTTCGTGTTTGAAGTACTTGTAAAGGTAAGCTTGTGTGGCGAATGCATCTCTAAACCTGACTGTCAACATGGCTCGTGGTCATCTGCTTTCCTCTGATGAGAAGGCTCATCATAAAGGTGGGCTCAGTACTCGAGCCATCTCCAGGCAAGTAGGGAAATCCCCTTGGTCCAATCAAAGGTTTCTGGA